ACAGTTTTTTACCACTGCATGATTGATTTCAGCCATGTTACACAAATGTCTAAAACATCACACAAACATCTACAGCATTATACAAAAGACTAGGCTGTCTCCTGCAACAGAAATCTTGAAGTCATAGTTTAAAAGATAGCACAAAGCTCAGTTTCAAGCATCAAATCAGCAATCACAGTGATGGCTGACAGCAAGTGTCAAGTTATAGCCAACACTGCATGATTGTGAATTTTATAGATACTGCATATAGAGTAGCCATCCTTGAAGCTGACTATACAGAGTGGCAAGAATCATGCAAGCAGAAGGTGGAGAAAAGAATGCAATTCTAGGTGAAAGTGAGAAATATTTTAGCTATATACTTTATTTAGAAAATATCTAGTTTCAGATAAAGTATGCAGCAGCAACGGCTCACCAAAGTTTAGTCGTCACAGTGAGGGAGAGTTGCAGAAGTGTCATGACCCAAACTCCATTATAAATGGAGGGGGGGGGGGAGTATACTAATATAATCAATTCATAATTGTTAATAAACATGTTTTCGCCCTTTTAGAGTGTGCAGAATGTCACTCTAAGAAGAAATCTGGCTAGCTGCAGCAGAACTGTGACAGGCCTTGGGGGGGGGGGATATAACTACAAGAAATATCCTATTATATTATGACACATTGTGTTATATTTGAATTAAATATATATGCATGCATCTATATAACCTGAATAATTCATATGGCTATCTACATATACAGCCGTACAACTTAAATAAAAATCTATAAAACCTGCATGTGTATGCGCGTGTGTGTATGTATATATATTACAAGCATATACATAAAATGTGGTATGTTGATCACCATGCATCATAATGTTCACACATGTAGTGCCATTATCAAGAAACATAGAAGTAATGATAATCAGAAGCAATAGCCATCCAATCTACATGAAGCCAATCCAAAGGTTGGCTTTGTTTCCCGAGAGAGTATCATATACCAACTACATATTTTTTTTTAAACTAAACTGCAGGATATTACTGCTACTATACAGATTTATGTCCATGATGGACACACAAAAAAAAACTACTAAAGAAGCAAGATTATTAAAAATTGTTAATTTACAAAGGTGGGGGGGAAAATAGGGATTTTCAGAAAAGTAAACAAACAAATTTAAGGTTTGAGACAATGTTAACATTATTTCCTCAAGCTACAAATCCTTATTTTGACTCCATGTCTAAAAGTTGTAATATTTAGGAGAGTCAAAATAGGTATTTGTAGCCTGAGAAAATAATGTCAACGCGATGTTTCAAATCCTAAGCTTGACTGTTTACTTTTTTTTTGCAATTGCATTTTCACTTTAAGCTACCTATCTTGTTTCTGTTTATTTGAAAGTCCCTATTCCCCCCTTTTTAAATTAACAATTTTTATTAATATTGTAGATATAGATCCAGATTATATCTTGTTCAAAACCAATAATAGCTCAGGTAGTTCATCAGGAAAAACATATAAATGTCTAATTACAATCTACGTGTATCAAGTTGGATTTGCAATTTATACAACTATTGTTTTCATAAAAACTACACCGAAAATTCTTTATCTAATTTTGAAAAATATTACTTTAATATTTTAAAATAAAACTATATTAAGTGATATTTATACAAGTGGTATAAATGGTTTTCATTAAAATATTTTGAATTTCTTAATACTTAGATTTATTTTTTAATTTGAATAAAAAGTAATTACTGAGTTTTGAAGTTTGGATTGTAAGCATGTCAGTTGTAGAACTTGTTCCATGATCAATGTAAAACAAAATTATTGGAACTAAATTATAAAATAAGTAACATTTTATCATCTTGAACTTTTATTTCACTGACATGTAATTTAAAATCAGTAAAAAATGTTAAATATTTAACATTAACACAATGGAAAATATCCTAATATTATTATTATTATTATACATTTTAAAGAGCAGTAAGACCATGTGTCTCAAATGAAATTCTGTGCTGATTTAAAGTTTGAGCTTACAATTTTATAGTTGATTTATTTGACATTGGGCCCTTACATAAAAATAATAAAGGCTTTGCTGTGGTCTGCAGTGATACCCTTCTGGTTTGTAAAGGGTCAAAATGCATCTTACTTAATTATTGCATCTTTTTCCCACTTTTATCCATACAATGAACACAGAACAAGTTTTTCTCCACAGGAATGATTCTTATACAAAAAAAATCTTGACACTCTCAGTTAAAGGGCCAGAACATGAATGATGAACTCAAATTCTGATAAGTGTAAAGTTCTGCACTTGTGATAAGGTTGGAAAATACTTATTGAGTAAGAGAAACAAAAGTGTAGTGAAAAAAAAAGGTATAATTGTTGATAAAATACTAAAGTCCTTTTTCTAAGTGTTTAGCTGTGGTAGAAAAAAAAGTAAATTACAGAAACTTTAAACTTGCACATAAGAAGAATTTTTATGTCTTTATACCAAACTTCCTTGGAAATACTGCGTGCTGTTTTGGCCCATCAGAAAATGTACAGTGACTGGCTACTAGAATAATTCCTGGTTTGGATAATTTATATTATAAGGAAATGCTTGAAGTTTTCCACTTTTTTTTTCTCTAATGTACTTAAAATAAGAATTAAGAGGTTAGACATACATGAATAGTAGGGGGTATTATATTTAAACCTTTCCAGGCTGGTGAGCACCTTTCATGTGTCATGTGCACAACTGCAAATCAAATTTCAAAATTTAAGTAACAATAATAATTCTATTCCAACAATTTTGTATATAAAAATATTTTAGAATAGGTTGTTTTTTTTATTTTGTAAATTTAATTTGTGTTATTCACAACAAACAATGACAGAAAACATTTAAACTTACATTCTTACACAGCTCTGTAAACAATGCACTCAGATTTTTAAAATATTTTCTGCCAATCCCAAAATATGTTTATATTTGCCATGTAACTACCATCCATTGAAAATACAATTCTCAAGGTTTAATTTCTTACATAATTTTCTTTCTCTTTTTGAAAATAAAATATATTTGTTAGATATAAATTAATTTTGATCATGAATGTAGCTTTCAAAAAATACTGTTACCTAGTCTGACCTGAAACCACTGTGACAAGTCAGGTCATAGGTTACCTATAGATTTCTGTTCATTTTTGCTTTATATATATGAGTGATTTATAACTGGAAGTGGTGACTACTGTAATCGGCAAAATAAATTTTCAAGTTGTAACTGACTGAATATATAAAATAAGATCTTTTCTTGAGAAAAACAGCACATACACGGTGATTCACATGTGCAAATGAATTAGCTCACATGAATTGCACAGGAACTTAAGCTGATGCTTTATCACAGGGAAACAGCAAGAAAACCCATACACTTTAAATTTACAAGTATATGCTTTACATTAGCAGAGTTATAGATTTTATCAAAACAATTGCCAATAACCTCCAACCTTGAAACATTTTCAATTTGATTTTATTGCCTTTGGCTGACATCTTCTCGGTCTGTTTCACAAGCCATCACAACGAATTAAAGATAAATTTTTATGCTGCTCAATGCATTTTTTGTAGAACCTATTTCTACTTTCCTCAGGAGTATTTAAAATTATAATGCAGTATGTAACTAAATATGGCCTTTCATAGCACATGTAATCAGATTTCCACATGTGCCAATATGTGCATGTATCAGAATAAAAGGACCGATAAAATGGAACTTTCTAGTCAACATTAAAAAAAATTTCAATTCAAAAAGAAAAAGTATTTTAGAGGTTTGTTTTCAAAATAATGTCTCTCAAACAAAATTTTGGAAATTTCCCAACATAAAAAATGATAGAAAAACCAAATCAAATTACATAAATTTCTTTTAAACAAAACTAGATATTACTTAGGAATTTTTCCTAAGTTTCATGCAAGTTTGTTAAGTAATCTCAAGGAAAAAAATCAAGGTCTGAAAATGATTAAGTAGTTAAAACCTTTTTTTTCTCTTGGATAAATGAAAATTTCAGTAAGTCAGATGTCCATCTATCACCTTTCTTTTCCTTATACACATATACATACAACCTGACTCCTAGAAGAAGACAGCTAGAGGTTTAAGATCTGTTAATACAAATTATTATTTACAAATATATAAACTTTTGCAAAATTACACAATACTGTTAATTCAATATTTGCCCCTTTTAAGGGAATGGTTTGAACTTACTAGAAAGAGATTGTCTGTTACTATTAGAATAACTGTTGGTTAAAAACAAACTGTACTGTAAAAACAAGATTTAAAATATATTTTTTCCCTTCATTTAGAACTATAAGTGACTTAATTTAAGTGTGTGAATAGTTAGAGGCTTGAAAAGATAGCCTATAGCCTTTAAATATAACAACAGTAAATATTGGAGTACTGGTAAAAAAGTCTTCCACTGAAGTTACAGTTTACAGTTTTGCACTATTATCAGAATTAATTTAGCTTATACTTTTGTAAGCCAATTAAGTTTTGAAACTTCTGAAAGATTGAAGATAACGAAAATGTTGTAAATTAATGTTCAATTCTAAATAACCAAGTTTCTAAAGTATCAAGCCAATTTGCTAAAACTTAGTAAAAGTTATTACTCAAAACTATTAGGCATAGACTAACAAATAATGGTAAATTAGTAGTACAAACTGTCTTTATTATAAAGACAGTTTGTACTACTAATAAATACGTTTCATCATACAAAAGCTTAACTTGACATACACTTGTGATGACTTCTGTTCTAGTTCTACAAGTTTCGCAATACTCACTAATACTATCATGAAACTGAAAGAAACAAAAGCAAGGACCTTCGCATTTTATGTTCAGTTTAGTCACGCTTAAAACTTTTAACTTGCCTAACTTCAAATCAAGTTCAAGGTCAATGATGCCTGTTTGCTCTAATTGGTAATAATTTTCTTTTTTTTACATTCAACCGTTATCTTTAAGTGCAAAAAACTTTAATACATAATTTAATTCGTATTAATAATAATAATAATTTTACTGACACTTACGATTACATTTGTATTTCCACTATCTGTCTTAAATTAAAGAAACTGCGATTCATTTCTCTACACTTGTGTTTTTATTATTATTCGCAATAATAAAATTTTAAATGTTAGTCTACACAAACACCATGTAAATACTTAATCCACTAATTAATATCATTCTTGATTTATATCTACTATTTAACTTAGCATTAACAATATCATTCACGTGAGAAAGATTTTAGCGCCATCTATAAATTCTTGTTTTGTTTTATTGTTTTTATTTCTAAGAGATTATGCTAACAATACCACTATATACAAATCAACCTTTCAAACTAAATTCTAATGACGATAAATCATCAAAATATTGAATTATCAAACAATAATAATAACTTGAAAGTCACGGTTTAAATCAAAAATTATTTATACTTCGTCAGGTTTCGACGTTTAAACCGTAACTTTCAAAGCGTGATACTGCATGTATGTGTATAATTTCAGAGGGTCTTTTACATTTTCTCGTCCAGACCCACTGACGTGTTTGGAAGAAAGGCTTCTTGAGCAGTGACTTGTAGGAAGCAAAAGCTAGATTTGAAATGTTACTTTTACACTCCTTTGATTTTGAATTCGCAATGGACAAATTAAGAAGAATGTGGGGGAAGGGGGAAACATTTCCAGTTAACTTGATTTTTATCAAATATTTTATTGGAAGAACACTATCAGAAAATCTTCATGAAAAGCCACAACAGCTCAGTGGCTTTGATGTTGGTATTGTTACGACATCGGGATCACGTGACGCTAGTAACACGTCATTGACTTCTAGAAATATCCTGTTCCTTCATGAATGCCCTAGCGTTTACTAGATATGTGTTAGTTTTGTATATATAAGACTTTCTCAACGTGACGGGACAATGTGTGTAATTGAACTGCGGAGAGAGAATATTGTTGAGCACGTGAGACGTTCGTTGAGAATTATAGCGTTTGTTATAGCGAGTCTGTTGAAATTAAGTGTATCGCAAAGTTATATTCGAAAAGAATAAACCAGTTTTATTTAAGAAATGACTTGTGTCGCTAAAGTTTCGTCGGAACGAATTTACGGAAAATTAACTAACGAACGGAGACATAACACTATTTTAACTGATAAGAGTGTATCAGATGAAAACTTTGAGTTAGCTGTTCGAGCTGAAGCTCAACAACATTCCAATGATTTTCCTTTTCCAGGGTCACTTCTAACATCCTTGCATCTAAATGAAAAGATATCCTAAAGTGGACTATAGATGTGTCCTCTTCTTGGGGGAAAGGGGTTTAGTCTTTCGTGGATCATCTGAAAGAATTGGTGTACCTGATAATGGTAATTGTTAGGAATAATTGAGCTGCCCAATCATTACGATCTAATTCTAAGGGAGCATGTAGGGAGAGTTACAAAATCTCATTGAGCAGATTATCGTCTTCAAGCTCACTAGTTATCAGGTGAGTCCCAGAATGAATTCATAGTAACCTGTCCTCAGTATGTACGTCACATTATTTTAGAGGAAAGATTTGCAGCAAAAATACTTTGCTATCATAGTAGATGCAACATCTGATTCATCTCATCAAGAATAGAGAACTTTTATCCTGAGGTATGTATCCATGCCATCAGAATGTTATTCCTTTGTCATTCAAGAAAGGTTTCTGAAAATTATTGATTGCAATAAGGAGACTGTGGTTGATATTTCTAATCTTATACTTGATTGCTGAACCAATCATGAAATATCATTAATGGATATCAGAGTCCAAGGATATGACAATGGGTCCAACATGGCTGGTGAGTATAATGGTGCTCAAACTATATTACTAAAAGGTAACCTCCTTGTCATAGTCTCAATCTATGTGGAGTGCAAGCAGCAAAAAGTTACACAGATGCTCAGATATTATTTGGAATAGTTCAAAAGCTTTACAATCTATTTAGTTGTAGCCCACAGCGATGGAGCATTATTATCACGAATATAGGCTGTTCTTTTCATTGACTTTCGGAAACACGATGGAAAGACAAAGTGTAACTCATCTTCCTGGAATTCTGGATACGCTATCAGAAATTCCTCAAATCAGACTTGCGTCTCAAACAAGAACTAAAGTCAAATTTATAACTGACTATGTGCAATCATTTTCTTGCATCTTGATGGCTGGAATCTGGTTAAAGGTACTTGTGATCATTGATCAGCAAAATTAAGTAATGCAAGCCCGCAAAACTACCATTACTATTAAAGTGAGCAATATTGAAAGTCTATTGAATGATTTAAAAATACTGCATGAATATTGAAGCTCAATTCTTAATGAAGCTAAATTGATTGCAAATAATATGAATCTTCTGCCACAACTGCTTGCAAAACGGAAAACAGTTTTCAAGTCTTTTCATGATGAAAATAAACATGACCCCTTGCCGAATTGTGAAGAAAATGAACCTGTAGAGGAGACAAAATTCAGACAAAACACATTTTATAAGATCATAGATGTTGTTATTGCTGGGCTCACTACAAGATATAGAACAGCCATGAATATTATTCAGACCTTTTCTTCTTTGTGGCAATATCTTCATTTTTCAGAGAATGATCTACACTCAAAAACTAAGGAGTTTGTTGCTAAGTGTAGATCTGATGTGTCAGAAGACAGTGGAAGAAATGAAGCGTCTAAAGGCCATCCACAAAGCTAACTTTGGTGATACTGCATTAAATCCTTTAGATTTTCTAAACAACTGCACAAATACAAGCTACATACATTTTCCTAGATGTTTATGTAGCCCTTCGTATTTTCTTCACAATTCCAGTCACAGTTGCAAAAGGGGAGAGATCTTTCAGCAAGCTGAAACTGACAGATCTGGGAACCCTTGCAATTGAACACCAGTTAGCCCATACTTTGGATTTCAGCAGAATCACTCATCACTTTGCCAGACAGAAAGCAAGGAAAGTACACTTCTGATAATGAAAATCATACAGTAAACAATTATCTGGCCTAATGATGGTAAACCTGCTTATGTACTAAAATAGAATAAAACTATAAACCTGATTTGCATTCAACCAGTTCTGTCATATTTTGCTATTATATAACTGAAATGTTTAAGTGCAATTAGGTATTACTTTCATATATTCACCGTATTAAACAAACATGAAACTCATTGTATGAGCATTTATTTTTCTCTTTATTAATCATATTGTTACGTCTCCGTTCGTTAGATAATTTTCTGTTTAATTTCTTTCCGACAAAACTTTAGCGACACAAGTCCGTTCTTGAATAGAACTGGTTTATTCTTTCTGAATACAACTTTGCAATACACTTAATTTCCACAGTCGCGCTATAACAAACGCTATAATTCACAACGAACGTCTCACGTGCTCAACTCAACAATACTCTGTCCGCAGTTCAATTACACATTACATTACCTCGCCGTCAGTTCTTACCCGTTTATATATACAAGACTACCCCATATCTAGTAGTCTCCCGACGCTTCATGAACGTTCTAGAAGTGTGTGGCGTGTTACTAGAGTCACGTGACATCCGCTGTCGTAACAATATTCATTTATTTAATAACATTCTTTAATCAGTTACTTTTGTGAGATCATTTTTGACAGCAATGTGTTTGTGTGTGTTAATGTATTTGTCAAATGTATGGTGATATAATTAATCATTGATTCCTTAAAAAATTTTAGCCCATTTTAATCTGAGTAGTTTGTTGAAATGTTATTAATAGTGACTTTGACATATATTCAATTTGCTTGTTATGTATAAAACGAATAGAAAACATACATAATAAAATACTGATTAAATATACCCTGTGTTATAAAATAAGCCTAAAGCTTCATAATTACTCATAAATTGTTGTATTTAATTAAGACAAACTAGCGACTAACAAATCCACATTAATACTCCTCTTACAAATCTTCAAACTATGATATTTAACTATTAAATGTATAACAAAAGCACAATAGGTGAGTAGGATACATATGCCATGGTAAATCTATCAAGATGTTATGAAATATTACACGCTTTTAATCCAAGATTGGATAATTTATCCTTTTGAGGAATCACGAATTTCAGCTTGTTGACAGTTTCTTAATGCATATCTGGGTCTTGAGGAGGGAGCCAGAAATAGTAATCCTTCTCTGGAGCTTGTGTCAGCTCTAGGCAGCCCTGTTTATTTAACCTCTACCACATTTACTGTGGGTTTGGCATAAACCTCTAACCTATGGACAGTGGCGTAGCAAGGGTTCTCAGCACCCGGGGCAAAGACACTTTTGGCGCCCCCACCTCTGAAATGTTTTGATTATTTGTTTTGTGACTCATTACCCACTTAATGACAATAACATAAAGAATTAAATACCGCCTTACACAGGCCTAAAATAAAGTCACAATATAACATCTCACGATATCACAAATGTAAACCTGGAACTAATGAAGTATAGCCTACAAGGTGTACTTACATAATTTGTAAACCATTTTGATATTTATGTCATCCAGTATTGTTCAAAGTCACATAGCTGGAGCCATCTTTAAAGCATGCAGAATAAATTTCTGTTATATCCCTAGTTTTGATACTTGTTGATATGAGAAACCAGTCACTTGTGGTGTACACGAATAATAAAATAGATTGATAAAATACTACTTAGGTTTACAACTAACAAATTTTATTAGGTTACAAAACTGTGCATATACTTAACTAGATCTTGGACAGGTAGCATTCTGGTATTCATGGTTACATTATATGAACCTTTCGTGCTTTTGCTGCTGTAAATGCATCAATTTAACTATCAAAATTTGAGGTGTTAAGTACGTCTTTTTCAATACTTAATATTGCCAAGTTACTAGGTCGTTCTTGAGTCATTGAGGTTCTCAAGTATGTAAGAATTAATTTCAGCTTGCTGAAGGACCTTTCACAACTAGCAATATAAACCCCAATTGTTAACAAAATCTGCAATGCAATTCTTAAATTTGGGAAAACATCTTCCCCATATGAAATTATAAATGTTGGCAAATCAGTTGCAACCATTAGTTCAGGAAAATCGGTTTGTGTTCTTTTACTTATCAACATTCTACAGTATTTAATTTCTCTGTACAATTCTGGTTCATCAATATCCCCTGGATAGCTCTTTGCTAAGTCAGAACATTGGTTTTGCAATTCCCGTCTTTGAAATCGGATGTCATACATGTAGATGAAAAAAAGAAGACAACAAAAGCAGTATGCTGCTTTATG